TGCCACTGCTACTACTGCTACCACTACTACTACCTCTACTACTATTACTTCTGCCACTACTACTATCCATGTTGCTACTACTACTACTGTTACTTCGGCTACTTCTACTACCTCTGGTACTATTGCTACTACTACTGCTGCTATTTTTAGTTAATTGACCCTCCAACCGCTGGTTCGTACTCTGCAGAGAGAATGGGTCTGAAGGGTTGGCAATCCGGGTCATATCGTGTATAATGAAATATGTCGAAGAAAGTTTTTTTTTTTTTTTTTTTTGTGTGTGTGTGTGTGTGTGTGTGTGTGTGTGTGTGTGTGTGTGTGTGTGTGTGTGTGTGTGTGTGTGTGTGTGTGAGTGTGAGTGTGTGTTTTCTCTCTTTTTTTTTCTTTTTCTGACATGACTTCAGGGATCCGTTCATATTGAGATGATACATGGAACTCAGGATGTAATGGTATCGCGATGTGTGCATTAGCTTCTTTCTAAATGTGCTCCGTTTTTTTTTTTTTTTTTTCATTTCATCACGGAGGCTGCAAGCAAAAAGTTTTTTTTTTTTCATAATCGTAACCTAGTTGTTAATTTCTACCTTTTGATTTGATTGATTTTGATTTGATTTTGACGAGGCATAATTATCTCGTAAGCATCCCGCCGATCTTTTAGTACATTTCATTTAGTATTTATTACATTTAGTACACTGCATGGCCGCAGTATGAGGTTGATTTGCTTCCCGGATTTTTATTGTTTGGAATATTGATGTCCAAGCTGATGCTAGTTCGGAGCGGTCTGGTGTAGTTTTGTCAGGAACAGAGGAGGTGCCGTGTGCATCCCTCCCGCACGTGATGCCGGCTCTATTATGCGTCTCTTTTGGGCGTTGCTCGTGTGGCATTTCGAAAGAGCCGGGATCAACATTTTCCTCATGGCGTCCTCAGGTGGCTAAGACTGTTTTTTTTGTATGTTTGAGTTCGTGGTCGAATGGTGCAAAGGCTCTTTGTTGAAAGGATTGAAGCTCCATTACCCAGGTTCTTTCCTTTTTTTTTAAACATCTTTGGCTTTGAATTATGGGGAGCCTTTGGTAAGTCTCACTTCTAGGTCTACCCCCCTTTTACGTGGCTGTTGAAAGGGCCGGCAGAAAGGGAGGAGGGAGGAGGGAGGACAGGGGAAGAAGGAAGGGAAGAGGAAGGAGGAAGGAAAGGGGGAGAGGGAAGGAGGAAAAGGGGAGGACAGGAGGGGAGAAGGAAGGAAAGAGGATTAGGGAAGAAAAGAGAGGAGAGAGGATATATAGGGAGAGGGGGAGAGAGGAAAAGGAAAATGAAAAGGGAGTGGCAGAGGCATAGGGGAAGTGATTGACTGTCAGTCAGTCAGTCAGTCAGTCTTTCGCAGGTGGAAAGTAGTCAACCTGCTCGCATTGCTTTTTCTGCTACTGCTTTTGCCCCCCGTGCTATTTCTGTCATAGCCATTACATATTTTAAAGATTGTCCTTTCCCCTGTGTGTGGTGCAGCGGTCAGCGTGTTGGTCTCGCACTCTCGCTGGCCTGCGAGACCCCGGCCATTACTTGCACACAGGGGGAGGGGGGGGGGATTTAGGAGCAAAATGAAACAGACAGTAAGTCACAGCAAAGAATATCTATTGTAACAAATGGAATTAAGACTAAATCTGAACTCTTAAAAATCTTTAATCATTACTCTGCTTTCGTCGCCCCCCTCCTCCCCCTCCTCCCCCTCACCACCAACCCCTCTGAGGCAACGACAGCAAATAAACAAACAGTAGACAGCCTTGACAAGCCGCATTAAAGGTGCTCAGAGAAGAGGAACACGAAGAAGAAAGAAAGGAAAAAAAAAACCCTGGAGATTTAAGGTCGACATCAGCATAGGTCCGCGACGGTCCTCTCGACCTTAACGAAACCCAGTCGGAGGCGAGCGCGTTTGCACAGATGACAGATCCCCCTCCCCTACCCCTCCTTCCCCTCCGCTCTCCCATCCCCACCCCTCCTTACGACACCCGCCGGCCCCCCTCCCTCCCCCTCCCCTTGTGTCATGCAAGGCAGGTTTCCCAGGGTGTTTAATAAGCATGACACCGGCTAAGGTTGTGTGGGCGGTCGGTGGACGCGGCGAGGGCGGCGTTTCGTCACTCGCGCGGCGGGAGGAAGGTGGGCGGGGAGGAGGGTGGGCGGGGAGGAGGTGGGCGGGGGAGGGGATGAGGGCAGAGAGAGGGAGAGGGGGCGGTGAAGGCAAAGAGGGGAAAAGGTGGTGGGGGTAAGGGAGGGAGAAGGGGATTGGGAAAAGGGAGGGAGAAGGGGATTGGGGTAAGGGAGGGAGAAGGGATTGGGGTAAGGGAGGAAGGGGGGATTGGGGTAAGGGAGGGGAATGGGATTGGGGTAAGGGAGGGAAAGGGGATGAGGGTAAGGGAGGGAGGAGAGGGTAGGAGCAATGGAAGGAGATGGAGAAAGGTAAAGGAAAACTCATGATGAAGGGAAGAAGACGAAAGGGAGGGAGAAGAGAGGATGAAGAGACGGAGGGAGGAGGGAGGGGTGGTGGGAGTTTTCCTGCAAGTGGAGTAATTGTGTTAAGTGAGGGAGTAAGACATAGATGAGGGGATTGGCGAGTGGCTTAGCGAGTGGCGCGTGAGTGAGCGATCGAGGGAGTGAGATAGACAAGGGGTGAGCGATGGGAGTGAGTGGGAAAGGCGTGGAGGTGGGTAGGAGGAAAAGTAAATATTCGGAGAAAGTACGTGGGATGCTTGAATTAAGTGAGAAGGAAGGTAACTGGAGGAGGAGAAAGGGAATTGAGAAAATAAAGAAAGAAGGAGTGTAAAAGTACGTGGATGCTTGAATCAAGTGAGAAGGAAGGTAAGAGGATGAAAGAAAGAAAGAAGAAAAAAGTAAGAATGCTTGAAGTGAGAAGGAGGTAATTGAGAAGGGAATGAGAAATAAAGAAAGAAGGAGTGTAAAAGTACGCGAATGCTTGAATTAAGGAAGTGAGAAGGAAGGTAACTGGGGAGGGAGGAGAAGAAAGGGAATTGAGAAAATAAAGAAAGAAGGACATTTTTGCGCTCATATTGCATATCCAGAATTTAAAAAAAATGCTTAGCGTTTGCAAGTAATAATAGTATACATACTTATATAAGTATCTATACCCACACAGACCTTGTATTTAGCCTTTGCACACTGGCATGCTGGCGTTCTTATTAGTGAAGTGGAACGAAAAGGAGAC